TGAGTCTGGTAGCGGCAACATCTTCAAGATTATGTTGGGGTATCCCAACTCTTCCAGCCATATCCAGAATGCAATCACACGCATTGATACGGCGACGTCTCGCCGGAGATTGATGACCAGCCTGCTGAAGATCTCTCTATCTATTGCATGGAATGATTTGAGTTCCTCGGTGGTGATCATAAARTAATCCATGGCGCCRGAGAGTGTCTGAGAACCGATCTTGCAAGTGCAGAAAGTATGCCGAAGATAACACCACACACTAAACTTGAATACTTGATGGAGAGGGTGGTCGATTGGGTCGAATGTTATATGGAGACGAGCGGGTGATATTGATGACCTCTCGGTGGTGGCTTCTAGTGCTAAACACCATTTCGAAGAGATGGGTCTGAAACTCTGAATGAGAAGAAACGCCGAGCTTCTGCACTGCGATGATGGTTGGAGAGATGCGACGGTTGGAAGGACATGAGGCATGGTCGTTATGTCTGTTGATGAAATCGGAAAGGTGGCAACTCTTTTAATTTGGCGGGAAAGGATAGGCAACGGCTAGTATCTTTGAGCAGAATTTCCGATTTTACAATAGTACCCCCGTTTTCTCTTTTCTTCAGCTAGAACGTGGGTTTTGGTCTTGGTCTAATAAAACCGTATGAGCGCGCCCCACACCGCATCCCAACCGTGCAATGGGAACATCTCCCATGGCATGCACGAGAGATGATGCCAATGAACGCTGGGATGTGCATGTGGGGGCTCGTTCTGTGGGCCTTGTGACCTCCACCTTGGCCTTACAAGCCCGTTGGCAATAAGCCTTGGACTAAAACCATGGTTTCTAAAACCGAACCGGTAAGGGGTCTGGTTATCGGTTTGAACAGTCCGACCGTTTGACTCGAATGGCCAGCCCGTTTTGACAAAAAATAAAAAAAAAATTAAAAATTTTAAAAACGGTCAAAACCGTTCGAACGGTTAACTGGCCGGTTCAGCGGTTTGCTGACCAAAATCAATGGTTTTGGAGAAAAGCGGAACATTCCCGGTTTTTCCAGTCCGACTGTCCAGTCCAGTCCGGTTTTGAAAACCATGACTAAAACCTTGAAATCATGGCCTTTATGCATTTCGTTTGATCCCATCTTAACGTCAAATTGGGGTTGGGTGCAAATGGATTGGATTATGATCCGATCTGAACCGAACTGAGATGCAATCCTATTTGGTTGAATTCGGATCATCCCTGGTCAGATCTTTGGATCAGGTCGATTCCTATGGTCCAATCAGAAATCGAATCGGATTCAGATCATTCCCCTATCCAATCTGATGTACTATAAATTTATAAATATATATATTATAATACATATATATGTTATTTATTTATTTATAAATATATTATTTATATTGTATTTTTAAAAATTTGTTATATTATTTATTTTTTTTATAAAAACATGTATATATATGATCAAAATAATTAAAAATTACTTGTATTTTTTTGTTTTTTCTTTATTTAAATTGGTATATCAAATTCAAATTCAGATCGAGTCCTATCAGATCCAATCGGATCTTCAGATCAGATCCGATCCGACATAAACATTGTCAGGTCGGATTCGAATATACCGTGATTTGAATCTGATCTGATCCGTTTGTATCCCCACTGTCAACTAGGGTGGATTCAGTCCTCACAAAATTGTGTTCACACCGTTCTCAGAAAAAGTACTTTTCAGCCATGCATTGGGAATATCTCCATACTTGTATCCTTTTATTGGAGGAGATATTCTTAATAAATGGCTGAAAAAGGCTGTGAGAACTCATTGTGAACACAATTTTGTGAGCGGGTTAGGTCGGGTTTGGGATGAAACCCATTTTTAATTGGGACAAAATCATAGACATAGAATCATCATTTCAATTATTAATCAGGATAATCGGATCCGACTCGATTAGACCTGATTATACTAACATCTATATTTATCTATCAAATCTATTGATCCAACAAGAATTTATATCAAAAAATAATTTTTAATTTATTTAGTTATTTATAAAAACAAAAATAATAAAAATGAAATAATTAGTTTAATAATAAAAATCTATGAAATGAATGATACAATGTGTATCGTAGAAATTATAATGGATCTTATATGTTTTAAATTAATATTTTATATTTATATCACTTATTATTTAGGGAAAGAAAAATATAAATTACAAAATTAACTAAGCAGAGCTAAGAGCTAATAATTTATAAGCATAATTAATCAGGATATATTGGTTTACCTGTACAATACTTCCTCAAACCGGGATGATTCATATCCATTTCTAAGATTCAAACCAGATCATTTAGGGCCTCACTACGGTTTCAATATGAAATCATATTTGTTGTTAGATTATCCAATTGAATTGACTTTAATATGGCCGATATGTATCATTTTTTAAGGTTGTTGATACGTGGCTGGCAGATGGAATGGCCGAAACTCTACCTTATTCCACCCGTACGGTCCTACCAATACTCGTGGTATTAGTTTGTACTAGACCATGTGATGCATGGACTTTATTAAGCCAAAAGCTAAATAATAGAAATATATAAAAATAGATTATTATTTTATATTTTAATTTTTAAATAATTAATTATTATTTATATTTTATATATTATTTTAACATTTTTGTTTTTAATACAAACATAATAACAATTAATTCCAGCCAGGGTTATTCATCAAACCAATGAAATTGACCAAACTAGCCTGATTATATATATATATATATATATATATATATAATTCCCATGTTTTTTAGTATAAACTATTTTATATTGTAAATTTAAAATTTAAAATTTATTCATTTAATAAAATCATTGTAATATTTTAAATTTAATTTAATTTTTAAGTTTAAATCTTTTGAATTGACCAACTAAACTGAAGATGGACCCAAATCAATACCAATGATTTCAACTCGCCATTAACCCGACTGGCTGAATCGTTCGAACCATTACCTAACCTTGGTTCTAGGTTTAGTGGGGACCCGTACGATGCAAGGACTTTGTTAAGCAAAAGTTAAATATATAGAGTGTTGACGTGGAATAGTCTAACCCATTTTACCTAGAGATTGTGACCCAAATGCAAAAGCGGGTCAGTCCCCAGGTTGGTTTTTAAAACATTGACTAATATAACTCGAGTTGGTTGGTTTTCACAAATCGTCGGTCAATTTTGAGTAACAAACTCCCCAACTCGACCAAATAAGTTTGGTTGGCCAAACAATTTGCAACAGAATTGAACATCTAGTAAACACAAATAATTTCAACTAAATTAATAGTGTAATCTCTAGCAAATAACAATAGTTTAATCACCAATAATTATTAAAAATTTATAGTGAAAATAAAAAACTAATAAACATATATTAATAACAAAAATATAATAAATAACTAACAAAAAGCTTCAATAACTCTAATTTATTTAATCTATTTTCACTATTTAAATAATATTTAAAATTTTCAATTATTTATATTTTATATTCTTCTTATCGAATATTGTTAAATCTATTATGATTAATTTTGTGTTTTTGATAAATTTTTAAGGTTATTACACAATTTTGTTATCTAATATATTTTTTGTTTTTAAATAATGTTATTTAGTATTAAATTTTTTTATATTTAAAACATTTAAAAATTAAATACTTATAATACTATTTAGTTAATATTTAAATTCTTTACATTTTATATTCTTACATAAAATATTATTTAATCTATTATAATTATTTTTGTGTTTTTGTTAATTTTTTAAAGTTATAAAATAATTTTGTCATTTAATCCTTTTTTCTTTTGTTTTTGAAATAATATATAAGATATGATTTAGTTCTTAATTTTTTTGATATTTAAAGTATTTAAAAGTTAGTTATTTACAATAATATTCAATTACTTAAATAATACAATTATTTTATTAATTTTAATTATTTATTAAATTTAATAATCCATAAAATTAGAATTAATACTATTATTACATAATTTTGTTATTAATTTTGTATAATATAAAATTATTATTAATTCAAATATTGTGAAATCTTATATAATTATTTTTCTACACTTTAGAATTTTTTTAAATTTATTACATAATTTCATTCTTGTAACTATTTAAAATTTATTTATGTTAAATATTTCATTAGTTAAATATTTAAATAATATTTAAAATTAATTGTTATTAAAATTTTATTTCTTTTAAAGTTATTGCGCAATATTAAATATTTTTTTATTTAAAATATTTAGTTATTTAACTCGAGTTGGTCAATTTTCACTAATGGTCGGTTAGTTTTGAGTGACCAACTTCCCAACTCGACCAAATAAGTTTGTTTGGCCAAACAATCTACAACCAAAATGAACCACCTAGTGAACACTCCTAATTTTACCTAAATTAATAGTCTAATCTCTAACAAAATAACAATAGTTTAATCTTCAATAATTATTAAAAATTATTGGTAAGCTTTCATTAATCTCTAACAAATTATTGGTCATTTTTTATTAATAGTCAGTTTTCATTAAATATTTTGTTATTTAAAATTCTTATTTATTTTGTTATTTAAAGTTATTAGATAATTTTTATTTTTATTATTTAAATAACATTTAAATATTTTTTTATTTATATTTTGAAAATAATATTTAGTTATTAAATTGAATGATCCATAAAATTATAATTTATATTATTATTACATAATTTCATTATGAATTACATAAAAATATAAAAAGTGTTAAATTTTTTAATTGAAACTTTCCTTAGATAGATATAGATGAAAAGTGGGGGAGAGAATAAATAGGAATTAGATATAATATAGGAGATAAATAGGAATTAGAAATAGTTAGAGATAATTTAGGAGAAAGTGGGTGATAGTTAGTTTTCTAATAAAAAGGAGAGGAAAATGGGAGATAAGCCTAGGTGGCAACTCCATAGGCTTCTAGAGGGAATCTTGCACCCCCTCTAGAATTGCTCCCTTAGGGTAATAGAGCACAAAGAGGCCATCTAACGTGGCATATCATTAATTTAGTGTGTGTGTGTGTGTGTGTGTGTGTGCGTACTAATTAATAATTGATGTAAGTGCAGATGGTCTCATCCTATCGCAGGCCTACACGTGTTAGGCAACGCAGTTTAGAGCAGACCCAATTAGGGCACGTGTGGAATAGAGCTCGACGGACTTTGCGGAGCCAATAGTGCGGGGTCACATGGTGGCCTCAGATGGCCACGCTCCCCGCGTACGGACCACATCCAGATTGTCCGAGATCATCTACCTCCAGGCGGCCTCAAGTATAAATAGGAGGTGAACCCCCCAAGGTAAAGGATTGGAACTTAAGCTCTCTAGCTAGCACTTGAGAACTCTTGTGGCCTTGTCTAAGTGCGTGCCCCTCGGACCTCATCCACTTGATACTCCTCCTAATACTAACTTAACCGTTAGAGTCTCTGCCTCGGGTTCTCACCCGGAGCCTCTGATGTTCTCCTCTTTGTACGATCGACCTACTATTCCTCGGCCACCTCGGACCTCGGACTATTCCGTGACACCTCAGCTTAGGAGAAAAGTTACAGTGTTGTCCTCGACCTATTCCGAGTATCAACAAAAATTTACTATAACCCATAATTTTTTTTTGTCTAAAAAATCAAGTATGAAAGATTTAAACATTAGTCCTTAGTTAAAAAATTACAAATGATTTATCTCTACCCTATGCTTTAATTATTTGTCATAATTACATTTATTTTACATCTTAATATTCAGACATTTTCTCTTCTTAGAATTAGTGATTAGTAGATGCTTGTTAATAAATACTTCAAAATTGATTGTTAAAATTTATATACCACAAATTTTTTTTTTTTAATTGAGATGTACTCATATGCAAACATATTTCAGCTATTCCTTCATTTTTAAATGCTAACCAAGTGTGTGATAGTTCATACTTGACATAGACTTTTCTTTCGTTTCTTTTTCTTTATTTTTGATACAAGACATTGACTATTAAAATGCGTGTTTCAATGTTTATCATGTATATATAGCTTATTGAGAGTCATCTAAAACTTATACTTAATTTTAGTGATATATTTTTTTGGGGATTTATTTGACTTTCCCAAGGTGTATCCATGCATTCCAAGGTTCAAAGTATCAATACAAGCGAAATAGTACGAATTAAGGGGTATCTAGATCTCTAAACCTTGTTCATTAGGGATTATCGCTTTTTAGAATAGCACAACACATGAAAACTATGAATTAGGCAATATTGATACTCTGAACATTGTATGTATCTTAAATTTTCCATAATATCCATATATATTCAAAGCGTAATACCATAAAATTGCATTTTTGATATTCTTCATGTTTCTGATACTTTGAACCTTGAGTAAAGGAGATCAACATGAAAAATAGGTAAAACCTGACCTGCCTTCTAAAAGGCATGCAGAAAAGCATATAATAGAAATATATAGCAGATTTAATAGATTGTGTTACAAGATAGGATTGTAACCTACCATCAACCCTTTCCTTTGAAAATTATCAAATAAACAATATAAGCTTTCAGGAAAAAGTTTCCCCAACTTAGAAATTAGAACAGAATATCATCCTTGTCAGAGGATACTGATTGAACTATGCAACTGGTTTGACATTTGACAAACACAGCTTAGGCTGCCGTACTATATATATTTGCTCACCATGGCTATTTTCTTTATACATGTCCTGATTCCTGTGCCAAGTCCACAAAGCATATGTTGAATTTACCACCTGCAGCAAAGAAAGACATGTAGAATGAAGAGAGGAAATTAACCAACTGATGCGCCAGCCTCTATAAATAATTAATTATGTGTCTATTTAACAAAGAATTTCAAGTAACTTTTAGGTCAAAGACTCAAACTTTTGACATGAATTTTAAAAGGAAATTGTTTCTTTTTTCATTTTTTACATATTTAACAGATTTGTATGAGCCTATGGGACCATAGTTTAGTTGGTATACATCAGAATATGCAATTCTAGTATTCGATATGGGGTTAATTAGTTGTTCCTAGACGAGCATAACCATCATGAAAAGAAATAAAATGATTAGATAAAAATGTGTACAACCTTAATTCAGTCTGATGCCTTTCTTTCTTTTTAAATGCATGCACACAGTTTCTTATTAGAGCGAGAAAAGACATGGTACCGGAAGAGCTTTGACTAATCAAAGTACACCACCTCATTGGTCACCTCTTTTATGATGCTGATTGATTGGTTATAAGTTTATTTGGTATCATGTATTTTGAGTAACATAGTCAAACCCTACTTGAGTTGATACTAAAATATAAAGGACTAATAAATGTGCACATGCATTGCATGTGACAATTTCCAATGATAATGATAATGATGATAAAATTTAAGACTGTATTTGTTTAGGGTGTAAATGTCAGACCCGTGCAATAGTACACCCAGTTCAATTTTGGTTAGAGTATAAAAGAACAACGAAGGTCGATGTAAAATTCCATTTTGAGAGGTTTTTACATCATTAATCAATGTAAAACCTCTTCGCTTCTCCCATCGAAGTAAACTCCCACTCATAATAACGCCTCTCTTCTCCATCTCCTTCCTGCTCCGTTTCATCCCTGCTTCACCGCCATTGCTACTTCTCCATCATGCACCGAAGCTCACCGTTGAAGCTGTTTCGCCGGCATCCCTACTTCTCCGACATGCACCGAAGCTCGTCGTTGAAGCTACTTCGCCGGTGTCACTACTTCTCTGTTGTTGCTTCGCCATTTAATCCCTGCTTCTCCAGCCCAATGGAGTCTCTAGGAATTACTCAAGCACGGATTCCTCAATGCTTTTCCCATTGAAGCTGGCCACTAATAAGAGTCCGCCATATGCCGAGGTCTTGGTCTATGGTGGAGTGCCTTCAAATTCAAATCTTAAAGCCAACAATGGCATATTTATACCCGCCTCTAAAACCTGTAGCTGCTTGATTATTACTACATAGGAACCAAAATGGGACATGGAGGAAATGTAGTTGAATAGGGTAATGGGAGACATGATCAAAGTTTCTGCCATTTGACAACCCATTTGCTTTCTGATGGTTGAGTTTCGGTGTGTCTCCATCTCGAAACGTAAATTACAATTTCTCAGCACACTATCAGAGAATCAAAGTTTCCGCCATTGTTTCTTTCTATAAAGCGATTCGGTGCAAGGTATTGTATATCCCCTCAACTTAAACGGAAAATATGTTCTTAAAAAATGTAATGGTACCACCATTGTCACTTGGATAATTTTAGAACCTTTAATCAGTTTGTAACTGTTCGATGAAATGCCTCACAACACAAGCATCAACTATCAAGTTATTACCATCTCAATGCGGTTCTATCATCCAAGCCTCCATTGAAAAGGGTTCCCACAAAAGGCCCTTTTAGACTACAAAACAGTTCTTTGCTGGGTCACCCAATTCAATCAACAAACACTTCTCTCTATTTTGAATCCTATAAGATATCATTAAATTTCGAAAGTGGAAGCTGTATCTACACTGGCATTATTAAATCTAGGTTCCAATCCTATCCATCCACTGTATCTTCTTTGATAACAAACTATGTTGCCTATGGTCACATTGGCGATGCTAGTTGGCTTCTCGGTAAAATTCCCAAGTGGGGTTTCGAACTAGTATCTCCAAATTTAATTATTGCAGGTTGTACGAATACATGAGAGTTTGATAATGTAGAGTGTTTTCCCATTGTATCCTCTATACAGATCCTACAAACCCAACCATTGTTATTTAAACAAGGGTAGAGATTTACATCGATGGGTATTCTCCAAACGTTTGCAAAAGTCCAACGTATATTTTACATCAATCAACCAAACACAGTGAATGTAAATACTGGTTCCTTTTTTACACTCTCAAAAGTCAATCGATGTAAAACTCCTCGTTGTAAATTTAGATTTACACTGCAACCAAACATAACCTAAATGTTCCTATTAGAGCTCATGTAACAAAGATAAGTGATCAAATCATAATGTAATTGATATCATCAAAATAATGACTAATTAGGTGGTTATCATCTAAGAGTTTTGTCCAAATTATATGGGATCAGCTACATGAATCCCCTTTCACCATTCAGTGCTATATCCACAATTAAATTATGGACACTTATATTTTTTATTATTTCCACCTAAGTCCTTGATTTATCCTTGGCTTTTGTAGCCCCTTCAACATTAAATTGAACACCTTTTAAAATAGATTTATATATGGTTTTACATGCAAATGACGGGACCATCTCAATCTACTTTCTCCATTTTCTCCTTTTGGAGTTACTTCTAGGTTCCTTCATATGCCACCATCAAGTGGTATTCATTAAAATTCCTTAGTGGGCTATGATCAGCTAAAATTCTTTTGGTACCATACTTTGTTGCATCATGGATATAATGACGCAGTTTGCAAACAAATCACATTAAGAAAAGCTTCAAAGAAAATAATCAAAGCTGAAAACAAGAAGAAGAACAATTCTTCACTAAATACTTAAGAGAAAATCAACAGAACTCCCCTGTCTACTCTTTATATAAACTTCTTGATACCCTTATGCCTCCTACAAGAAAATGTCCTAATCTAGTAAAACACATCTTATTAGAATCCTACTAATAGGGGTGGAAACGAATCGAGTTATTCGAGCTCAGTTTGTAAAAAACTCAATTCGGCTTAGTTTAAATCGATTTTCAGCCAAGATCAAGCCCAACGAAGCTCGGCTCGCCAGGCTCGGTAGCCTAATAAATAATTTTTATTATATGAATAATAAATAATTTTTATATGTATAATTTTTATTTTTTATAAGAAGCTTGACTTGTAGTCGAGCTCAAGCCGAGCCAAGCTCGAACTTGCGATCTTTTGAGTCGAACCAAATTCGAGCTCAGGATTTTGTCTCAAATCGAGCTCGAGCTTGAGCCGAGCCTAACATTGTTCTGGCGAGCCAAGCTCGAATGGCCAAGTATTCGGTTTGGCTCATTTTGAATCCACCCCTACCGACTAAATCTTCTAAAAAAAACTATCTTAATCGAAGACAATTTCAAAAATCCCACTGTGATGTTAACTTGGTAAATGCGAATAAGGGTAAATAGATACTAAAATTCTACAATGAAACTATCTTGGTAAATACGAACTAAAATGGATCATCAAAAGCCAACTTAGTACATCTTTACTCAATTGGGTTGAATCCCATACTACATCCTCCCCAGGTTGAAGAGAATCTGACCCCAGATTCATGTTACCATCCAAGAGACTATCAAAATATGGTTTTGTGCTTCTTTGTTAGAGATGGAAATTTCACCCATCCTTATGGGGCCTTGCTGCGGCTCACTCTGATCAGGCGGTTTTTTTTTACCACTAATCAGGGTTCGGGACAGGTTCGAGGAAAACCCAAAATTCTAGGATTGGGGATAGAATGGGGACGATATTTGTCCACCCTACCCCAACCCTAGCCCAACTATATTATAAAACATTATATATATATAGTGCTATAATATAATACTATATATTATATTGTATTACATAATATAAAATAGTTCTATGTAGATTTCAAAAAAATAAAAATAAATAAATTAATGAGTATACAAGTAAGAATGGCCGAGGTAGGGCGGGGCAAAGTCAGGGGTCCCCATTCCCCACAAGGACGGGGATGGGTTAGGATTTTTAGCCTCACCAAGGTTCAAGGCGACGAATGTGAATTTAGGGTCGAGTACGGGGCAGACAAAACCTAGCCTCACCTCACTCTGTTGCCATTCCTACTCTCTGTTTCTAACCTTTTGATACATAATTGGTGGTGTAAACCTCTAATACGAACTAAGATTTCTTCATTACATCTCTTAACATTTGAACCATATCTCTTGATCTTCAAATAATTCAATTCTTCCTTTATTGATCATTCTGAACATTGCAAAAATGCATGCCAAATGAATCATCGTAGACTTGTATGAAGACAATGATATCAGGGCCTCTTATATGATAAATATTGTCTCCATCATCTTGAAATTCATTATGAATGATAACATATTCCTCTTGAGCAATTAGTTCTTCATCATAGATTAGAGGTTTCTTCTAATCAACATGTTGTTCTTCAACAGATGTTGAGGAGAATGACAATGCAAGATTTTCATTACAATCCTCAACAATATTGAATCAATCAATAAAGTCATAAGATTTGATTTTATCTTTAAACTTTGAAATTGATAACTCCATAGAACTCTAGTCCGTGAGTTCATTTGGAACTATACCTCCATGAAACTCCAGAAACTTAATTTTGAGATCAATTTTCCATCGGTTCTATACATTACCCGCAACTACAATCAATTTCGTTGCTTGCCTTAATGATGATAAAGAATGAGTGAAAGAACCTCCATGAAACTCTGGGATCTCAAACTTGAAAACCCATTTTTCATTGTTTTTTGTCACCATCTACAACTACAAACAATCTGGTTGTTTTCGTTGATGATGAAAAGGAACGAGTGGATGCACTTGCACTGGAACTATTGTCCCCTATTTTGGAACGAGAAAATAGTGATATCAACTCTTGAGCAAGTGCATCGACTTGTCTTCTCAACTTTATCATCTCGTCTTGTGTATAAGTGTTTTGTTGTTGATGTCCTATTCCATGATGTGAGTCATTTGTTTCTTCTTAGGAGCCATAATCCAAAGAATGATCAAACCTAGCTCTAATACTAAATAGTGCAGTTCGGAAACAAAAATCTTACAATGAAGCTATCTTGGAAAATATGAACTAAAATGGATCATCAAAAGCCAACTTAGTAAATATTTACTCAGTTGGGCCGAATCCCGTATTGCATCATATAAAAAATATATATATATATAATATTAAAGACATGTTCAAATTTTTTATAAGTATTATATTTTTTATATTTTTTATTTTCATTATTTATTTTATAAAATTACAAGCTAACTTATTTAATTATAAGGGAAATGCAATTGCAACTGACTTTTAGAAAATTGGTTTTATCTTATGGTCAAATCAATTGGTCAAATGGGTAAATCCATCACCTAACAATGATTCTGAGTCCATTTACAACTAAACCATTTACTTGCAAAAGACTAATTATCAACATGGTGGCCTAACTGAACCATTTAACCTAGTTAAGGGAATCACAAATTAGACATCAATTTTTCTAATTTTTATATTCAACTTATATCATTAATAAGAACTATTATTATTTACCACATTTAGTTTTTAATATGCCAAACATATAATATTATACATTAGCCCAATTTTTTTTTATTATTTTTTATTTTTAATTAATTTTTTAATCATAAAACAATGGGTTAACCAATTTGACTCAAATGGTTGAACCATTAATCAGTGACCCGGATAGAAAATGGTTTCAACTTTGTTTAATTTTAAATTTTATATTCTATTTACATCATTGATAAATACTTCATATTTATTATATTTATTTGTTGGTTTTCCATTGTGTGGCCCACGTTTTTGCATACTCCATATGGGCATTTCTATTATATATACTTCCTTTCTTTCTCTTTTAATAAAATTTTAGTTTACAAAAAAAAAAATCATACTTTTGGATTGATCCATTTGGCCCAAATGGTTGAACTACTTACACACCACCTAGATGAAAAAAAAAATGGTTTAATTTCTGAATTGATTTTAAAAATATAGGTTTTTATATTATGAAAATCATTATTTATGGACTTAATTAATATATTTTAAAAATAAAAAACAAGAATACCTTAAATATAGTATTAAATGATAGAGAATAAGAGTTAATGCCTTAAATATGGGATTTAATTTGAGAGAATTGAATAAAATGAATAGTAGTATTGAAATTACATTTGTCCCCCCAAATGAAAATTGTCCAAATTCAAAATGAAGGGTATTTTAGCCAAGAAAAATTCTAAAAATCAATAGAAATTAATACCTTAAATATGGGATTTAATGAACTGAATAGTGATATTGAAATTACATTTTTGCCCACAAAACAAAGAGTGCTTAAATTCAAAATGAGGGATATTTTAGTCAAGTTAAATTCCAGAAATCTCAGGCCTCATTCGTGCTTTTTATAATAGTATAAATATATATATATATATAGATAGATAGATAGATATAGCTTAGAACCATTAGATTATACTATTATACCAAGTGCATACCTCTAGTATTCCATGTCCAAAGCTGCTCTCTCTATATGCACTCCATTCTGGTTGTTTGTCCCAACAAAATTTTTCTTTTGCGGGGCCAGAAGAAATATTCAAATGGCATATCCCTCCAAATTCAGGTATGTTGTCTCCTGCCAAAGGACGCTTTCCAGGGTCATCTGCATGCTCAACATCAACTTTCTCAATGTTTCCTCCATCTCCTACTGTTATGTAAACAGGTCCACATGGATCCAATGTATAGTTGTATACTCTATTCATCCGCTCATAGGCATGCACCTGTCAACCATATAAAAGAGCATCTTGTGTCAAGAACATTAGATGCAGTCTGAAACACATCACTCATAAGTACTGAAGAGGCAGAAGTTTAGAACCTTTGGATGAAAGCTTCAGTTAGTTACAGGATGAATTGAATATCTATTTGAAGGAGCTAGCTTCAAATTGACAATTTTCAGAACATGTTATAGAATCTTTGATATCCTGAAGATGAAGTTAATGGATCAAGATCAACAACCATGATCCAACAAGAAACTGGAGATAGTTGGAGCTTCATCTTGAGAATTAAATCATGATGCTATAATAAAAATTATTTCCATAAACATGAACTTAGACCCAAGAGCAGAGGTTCTAAAAAGGAACCTTAGAAAGAGCTCTTTGATTGCTTGTGAAGAGGTTAGTAGAATTCTCTAACCCCCAATACTTGCTAAGGGTTACTCTTTAATTCCATCTCTGGTTTAGGGCAGGCTTCTTGTACAGGTCTACAAACATCATAGATTAGCTTTTGCTGGGAAGCAGCCACAAGGTTTGATGCAAACTTATGAGGTTCAGCCTTTGCCTACATTCATGTGAGAGATAGATCCATTATTCATCATGAAAAAGAATGAAGAACAGTATAATATTTCCTATGATTTATAACCCAAATAACCCTATACCCTTGTATACCCATTTCCTTTCCTCTCTCAAAACCCAAAGAACACGTAGAAGAGATAACTCTTTCTCAAGTGTACCTTTTTTTCTTTCAATCTCTCACTCACTCAAAGAAAAGAACCACCCGTGTATAAGCCAACAACACTCCTTATCATACAAGTAATGCATATTAAGGAGTCCAAACCCACCATTGGATCTCAACCCAAACAACACAAACCTAACAAATTTGACATTTAATCATATCATGTGTATAATTCTAAAAGAGAAGCATGAACTGTCAGACAAACGACATGGTATGAGAGAGGATTTGATATATGGATTTTGTGAAGTGTTAAATGACATTTTCCTCTTTAAATTTTAGACACACTAATTTGTAATACCAGTTATAGTGGTAGCAAAATAAAAAACGTCCATGCTTCTCATTACTAAGATCAACATTTTCCTTATTATTAACATTTGTTTAGATAAGAAAGTATCTGATCACAAATTGTGGAACAGAGGCACTAAAGTTTAAAATGGACCCTAAGGCTCCAAAACTAAGTTTTAAGGGTGTCAATGACTTCAAATGACCTCTATATATTCAACCTGAATTAGTTGAATCTGGTTACATTCTTCTGTTTTTTATAGCTGATAATTTCAAATGGGGATCCCATTGAACAACAAAATAACAAAGCCCAAAACCTTAGATTGAATTCCCACCCTAGATCTAGGATACTCCAGCCACAAACATACCTATCCCTTTGCCTCAAGTAACCTGGCTTTTCTCTATAAGTTATATGCTTTCACCCCACCAGGGAATCATCACCAATCTCTCCCATCAACATTATGGCCCTCACCGTGACCACCTTAGGACCTTAGAGTAGGTAAATATCCTAGAGAGAGAATTCAAAGAAAAAAGAAGAGGGAAAGAGAGAATGCTGAAAAATACCCTTCAAAAAAGAAGGAAATTTGGCAAGAATAAGGAAACTACACCATCACATGGAAGGTCTAAGAATCAAAAGGGTGCAAAGCCCTTATACCTAACTCAGATTCTTGCACTCTATTTAGTTGCCTTGCTTCTTTCTTGTACCTACTTTTTGCACATCTATAAATATGTTTTTTCCTTTTTGATGTTTCCTTTCAAGGAGAAGCTCTATTTTGAGAACTAGATGGTGGTATCCCTGAGTCCAGGAACATTTAGGTAAAGAAAACAAATACAAGAAAAAAAAAAAAAAAACACCATTACCCAATCCTGGTCCCAGCTATACAAGGTCTTGGAAGGGGTGGACTAAATATGGGCCTAACCTCCAGAAATTTTTGCATTAAGGGGAAGCATTCTCACACTTTTCATCACTGCACACTGAACAGCCCATAGCTTCCTCTTGAACCTAGTTTTCAACCTTTTTGCTTGGATCTTTTTGTGCCATTCGGAGGTGTTGGGGAACCCGGTTTCATGCCTTCCCCTCATCATCATTATAGCCTCTTACCCTCTTCTAGTTTATATTGGTGCCTTTGGAGCTGTCTAAGTGGGCTATTTTCTTTTTTACCAAAAAAATTTAAAAGAAAAAACACAAAACAAACTTTCACCAGCAACCCATCACCCCGTTTCTTAATTGGTGGATGGAAAGTTCTAGTTAATTCCATTAGTGAGACAAATGAAATTAGGGGGTTCACACCATCCAAGGATTGAATATTTTCGTTTAGAAAATATCTCTAAAGAAGGGCTTATTTCTACTACAAGAGAGTCTAAGCCAGCTGATCCCAAGTGGTTTGTACAAGGCTTTGAGAACAAGCTGAACTGTATCCTGTAAATTGAAGCAACAAGAGAAAGAGCAGTTTTGTGCCCCCAAAATACATAGCCAATTAGAAGATTACTAGTCGTTTCATTTTGACTATTAAACAACATTAGTAGTAGAACCATCCCCATTTTAAATGATAGAGGATTTGGTACTTTATAAGGTAAACAATATTCACAAAAGGAAATTGATGGAACATTGACAGGACAGAGTAAGCAAATCACCTTTGAGATTCAACTTCCATTATTGGTCAAGTCAATGGATGTTGCCACTGCATGTCTGAGTTTGAAGCATATCATTCATTTTTTATGGATAATTGATCAGAAGCGTTCTCAATGCAACAAAAATAATCATACAGATTATGGTGGATGCAACCCTCTAGGAAGATAAATGAGAGAGAGAGAGAGAGAGAGAGAGAGAGAGAGAGAGGCCACTTCAAAGCACATATTAAATGAGAGCCAAATGTAAGAGTGAAACCAAAACATGTTTGAACTTCCTTGTAACATCAGACATGCAATCAGATTGATGAATGAAAGAGCAGTTCTACCCAATATAACAAAACCTTAGATTCAGTCAACAAGTAAACCTACGCATTAAGTTAGTAATTGAAAAGGCACACATTACACTGCTTGCACATTTCTGTAGTTGCTATCTACTTTTATATCTCTAATTTAAAACCATAATCCAGTCCTTACCCATGACATGTGAAAATTGGCCTTTCTTGGGCACATATGTCAACCAATGCAATCATTTGAATCTTGTTTAGTAAACATTGAGCCTCAGAAATTGTGGCTCAACTGAAAAACCCATGAATACTATCTAAGATCATATACAAAACAAATTAAAGCTTTAGATGCTAAATGGGTCATTCTTTTTTATGCTAAACGGGTCATTCTTTTAGATACAAAAAAAACAAACAATGGAACTGCATGACCAATGAGAATGAAGATTAAAAAGCTGACTTACATGACCAGAAAAAACAATATCAACTCCATATTGATATAGTAGGGTTTCCATTTCCTGTCTCATGCATTCAAATTCCTGGTAATGTGATGAGTAACTATTATACCAAGGAGGATGCCATGCAGCCACCAGCCAGGGGGTCACTGAACGGTCCACTAGATGTAAATCTTCATGTAACCAGGCATACTGAGTACCTACAACAAGGATACGTGAAAATCTTAAGTATACAGATGAAAGACATGATATTCCAGAATCTAATAACAATTTAAAGTTACAAGCACTACAATTTAGAGCAATAAACGGATGGAAGATAATGACATCAGTCACCAGTACTATTGTAGCCAACATATGCTCCCAACATTATGAAATGTATTCCTCCTGCATTGAATGAGTAGTAGAAACTACTGTTGGAGCCAGACTCCTGTGAAGGAACAGCAAAACGTGCAAGGTATGAACTAAAAGTGATGCCACCAGCTTGAGGCTCAATCTCGTGGTTTCCTTCAATCACCATCATAGGAACCCTTGAGATCAGGGGCTCCATAAACCTAATTTCCAATTAAATAATGTCAAAAATAGAACTTTACTGAAAAACTTCTAGTAAACTAATGTATATATGGAAACAAATTCTAGTTCTAGTTGAATAATAAAATAAATTTTGATCAGTTTGCTATGGGCAATCCCAGACCTTCTGGAGTGGGGTTCTTTTAGAAATCATGATGGCCTTCTACTAAGCTTCTCAAGCCCTGTTGGTGAAGAAAATTCCCTAATAATGGAATCACTTATCTTCTACTAAAAGGTCCCATTGCATCTGGGATATTTGAGCAGAGAGAGGGAAAGTAATGCACAAGCTGAAATTGAGGAGGAATAATAGAGCAATTTTTTAAAAAATGCAGAGGTGTAACACGAAGTGTTCCACTATCCTGAGTCACAGGGTGAAAAACCATAGGGCAGCAGAAATATCCCCTGGTATGAGCCCATCATTAGACCCTTGGTCGACATGGTCAAGCTTTCAATTGTGGTATACCTTTTCTTAACTCTTTTGCCTATATCTCACACCTACACTCTTGGGCTAATCAGATCAGACCACAATGATCAGTTTAGGTCCAATTTATGACCATTTGACGTGAAAACTGTAAAATCTATCAATTTGAGGGCTCAGATATGTTCAAAGTTCAAACTGGCCTTGATAGTGAGACCAACTGTAACCCATATTTAAACCAGGTCATCTATAAATTATAGAGCTTAAAAGACCACTACAGAGCTTCAGTTAAGAATCCATAGAAGGTTCATTTCTAAATTATAACCACAATCAGGTCAGATACTCATAATATAATTTTAAAGATGAGATTACCTTCCCCAGCCATCCCATCGGGGTTGATATGTCTCTCTAATGGGTGCATCTGGGAAAGCACAAGAAAAGCATGGAACTCCTTTGTCACCTGTTGTAAGGTATTGGTTTGCATAGCTTAAGTCACCAACCATTAACACCATTGAAGGATCATTCTTGATCATATGGTCAACAGTTGTTGTTGAATTGCTTGTCAGACCTAAATCTCCAACAACTGCTATCTTACGGGGATACGTATTTGGGCTAGGCCAAGGCAATGTTTCAAACACATGTTCTTCACTCATAGCTGATAATGAACTATCTCCACACTTGTAATAGTATCTCTTCCCAGGTTCAAGGCCTGCAAGAAAAGCAAGAACTCAATGAACATGGTAGCTAAAAAGTACACCGAGTTCTCAGTAAAGGGGTGGAAATATAAGAAAAGCACACAGTGGAAATCTGACAAATTTCTTTCTTTTTTCTCCTTCCAGAGAATGTTTTCATTTTCTGTTGGTAGGCAAGTTGGTTATTGTTAGTTGACAGTGGCCTTAAACTGGGTTGCAAACCCAGGTATGTGCCATTAGTAAGCTAGTGTCTTCAATAAGAAAACCATTCTAACATGAAAATGCACCACTCTTTGCATGTATAAATCTTAACTTATTCCTTGAATCTTGACCAATAATATCACCATTATTTTTCAGCATATATATTTTAGGTGTCAGGGAAATGCCTCAAATTCAAATTCACAAGAAGCACAAACAATCATCCAGATAATATAGTAGCTTTATTTCTTTAACTTCATATTCTGTTAGCTTTCTTGTTCTGTTATATGATATTTTTCTTGGTGCCGTACCTACACAAGACAAAAAATTACACACCTCAATTGTATCAGAGCACTTGAAACATAAAAATAAAGAAAAGTCAAAAACTTTCCTTAAGAAATTGCCATAACTTGAATGTTGAATCATGAAGACATGGTTAAAGTCCAAAGAATTATCCCTGAATATTAAGGCAAATTGCCAGACTAGTTGAATAAATGAATCAAGTAAAATCAATTATTCTACAAACCCTACTGCAAAATTTGGGAATTTTGTGACAATTGAATGTATATGTTTTTCTTCATCTTAAGACAATTCAGTGCCTAAATTAGTCTGAAGGGCAGAGCTATATCATTTTATTCAAACAAAGGGAGAGCATCAAACTTTACTTTGCCTGGTAGAGCAACACTGTCACCAAAAAAAAAAAAAAAAAAAAACAATTGCAGAATAATGGAAAAGGACAGGAACACCTTCAAATCTTTTAATGTGTTCCACCACAACTTCTTAGATCTCCAACTGATAACAGAGGTGGGCTTTCTTACCTTCAAGCCTCACATGATGAATGATGGCCGATGTGTAGTTCAAAAGGCCCTCAAACGGGTACAATTGACTATACACAGTCGATGTTCCCTTCTGGAGAAACGTATAGTTCCCGCTCTCTTTCCCATACCAAACCTCACTAGCAACTGTAGAAGGATCAAGTGGAGTGACCTTAGAACCAATCTGAGCATCCCCTGCACAAACGAAACACGACTTATTTCAACAATTCAATATATCAATACACCATTAGTGAGCTAAGGAACCATTGAGACACAGTGTGCGATGAGTCAGGTACCAGTTACCCAAGAAACCCACATTGAAGTTGGTGAAGAGATGGCTAGAGCAATCTGTTCAGGGAAACTAGAGGGAACTTTCTTAGCAAGCCTGGGATGATTCATGGGCAAGTCATCACTTCCTCCGCGCAACGACGAATCGAAGCGACGAGTGACTGGTCGGAACGGCCCTTCCAGAGTTGTTGGGATGTGCTTCCCTCTCACCGCCATATCCATTAAGGCCATGAACATGACCAGCGTGGACCATAATTTACAGAATTCCATGAAGAACAACTTCCCAGCTGTTGCTGCTGTTGCTTCTATTGATTTCAGCTCAATCTTGAAATGCCATTTGGGTTTCACATTGATGAATGCCTAAGATGCCAGTCTCTTAGGTTCTGTTATGGATTTACCAACCAGAGGAAGAAAAAGAAACTTGGGAGAATGACCAATCAGCCTAGATCAGAATTTTATAGTCCCAAACTACAAGGGGAATGCATCTGACCGTGAATTGATATGTTAAATTCACGGCAGGATGTGGTTTATAGGGGAGAGGGCTAGAGGGCTGGAATTCAGAATTCTGCATCGTATGTATCTGTACTTTTCCGAAGAAACTTTTGGAGGGTTGGCTACCTGACTTCGAACTTGATAAAGGAATATTCTTTTGCAGGTTAGCATCATTGGTATATGAAATGACGTGACGTCTACCATGTCTGATGCATAGTGGACCTCCACTGGTTGATGGACTTTTGACATTTTTAGTACTGGGCCCAAGTGATGATGTCAACGACAGATTGCATGGACATGGGGTAAAATAGTAATTGCAATCAATTTTCTTCTTTATCTCTGAGGCAGTTTCACGTCCATCCCATTCGTCTAATTTTCATTTTATCAGGTTAATTCAGGTTTAAATTCAAAATTTATATAATAAAATAAAATACTTTTATTCTTTATCTAGTTTTCTCTCCATTGGTTTGGACTTTTATATGACTATAATATCCTTTTATTTAAGCAATTTTTTTGGTAAAATCAGGAAGACGAGTGTCGTTCTGCAGCTAAGGAAAATCAGAATTACAAAAGGGAGGAGAATAGAAGCTAGAACATCACAAGTCGTCCAGTCGGTCACATGATTTTCAAAACCGGACCTCTAACACTCTTCAACTGCTCACAAGATCTCCAACACTCTTCAATAATAGTATTTGGCATGGTTTTCAAAACCGGATCGGACCGGGCAGTTGGACCAAAAAAACTGGAACCGGAAACCAGTCAACCGTTTTATCCAGAATTGTTATTTTTTCAAAAACCGTTAATTTGGTCAGCAAATCGTTGATTTAGGCGTTCAAACCGTTCAACAGTTTGGCCGTTTTTTTAATTTTTGTTAATTTTTTTATTTTTTGTTAGAACAGGCCGTCCATTCGATTCGAACGGTCAGACCGTTTGACCCGAGAACCAAACCCCTAATCGGTTCGTTGTCCGATTCGATTTTAAAAACCTTGGTCTTTGGTCTCTACCGCACTTCAGATTTCTTCTTGAGACACGATCTGACTAGAAGTGAATCCTCCTCAATAGAAATTGGATGATCCTTGTAATTAAGAACAACATTATGGGCCTTCCAATCTTCCCAACTTTAAACCAAGTTAATGGAAATAGAACCAATGGAATAGGTTTTGACTTTAAAACTTCTCCAAATGTATCTCTAGTATAATAAAAAAAAAAAAAAGAGAAACAAGGGGCCAAGTGAAGCATCTTGAGGTGTAAAACAGGCCGAGTCGGCCCATGGCATGATCCTTGGAGCCAGGCTAGGCCGAGGGTCTTTAGCCCATGGCATCTAGCCTAGGGATGCAACTTGGGCGAGGCCAACCCGAGCCTGAACTAGCCTAGCCTGAAGTTTTATATGGATTGGACTTGGATTTTTGGTTCTCGGGCTGGCCTTGGGCCTAAGAATTCAGGCTTTTTTATTTTTCGGGTTGGGCTTGGACCTAACCCTTAGGTAACCCAAACTTGACCTGACCTTGTCCCAACCCAATCCAAGCCCAACTATGCACATTCATACATACATATGTAGATATGCATTTACATATATGCATACATATTTATATACATATTTACATAATACATATATATTTGCATATACATATACATATTTGCATTAATGAGATACATATATAATTCTAGAGTAGGATCCTTGACCAACCCAACCCCAGCCCGAATACAAACCCAACCCAAGTGCTTCAAATTATAATGCGGGTTGGGCTCGGGTTTAATTAGAAGATCAGGCTTGACCTCGGTCTCAATCTAAGCTTGAGCCTTAGACCCAAATCTTAGGGTTAGGCTGGGTTGACATAAACCCGGCCCCAACACACCCGACTTGCACCATAACCTAATTGTTATAAGGGGGTATAATGGTAAAAATACCCCCTAATAGCTATAAATAGCTATTTTGGGGTCTTTGTGTATTCTACTAAGGAGGTGTATAAAATGACAAACTACCTCCCAACACCTAAAAACAGCTAGTTTAGGAGGGTATTTCAAGTGATAAACTTTATAAATAATCAAAATACCCCTCACAACAACTATAAAGACTAGTTTAAGAGGATATTTTGGTCATTTAATTATTTCAAACCCCTATAAATACCCTAACCATTTCTTATTTTCATCACAACAATCATTCAATCAAATACAATATCTCATTTTCATACTCTCATACTACTTTACGGTCTACTCTCATACAATTATATTCTCAATTTTTTATTGTTTTTTTAATTTCAGCAAAAAAAAAAGTGGCTTGATTAAGTGTCTTAAGTTGAAGTTGGCAATTTGAGAGGTTTAAAATCTTTGTATTCAAGTTGAAATATCAAATTAGTAGATCAGACTTTGAGGACCGAAGTGCAATTTTTAGGTTAATTAGATTGTTTTATAAATTTTGGATTTTAATATATTTTATAATGGTCATTTCTTATTATACTCCCTTTCACTTTGACTTTGCTTCCTTTGATGAGTCTCATTCATAGTAAAATAGCACTAACATGACAAAACTAGTGCTACTGCTATCAAATAAATCCAATATGATGTTAGGCCCTAGTAATACTAAGGCACAAAACGAATTTTAATTTCTAGACAAATCTTTCTTCTAAAATCTCTCTTACTTCAAATGTTTAGTCCTCTAAGTATAATTTTAGTTATATTTCTGTATTACTCATTTTATTGATGAAAAATGGACTTTTAAGTTTTACAAGATTGGAATAGCCACATATTGGCCTAGCTATTGAAACTAGTATTTTAAATACTATACATAATTATTGTATAGAAGACAAAATTATTTCAATTACTTTTGGTAATGCTAATAATAATGGTCTAGCTATAAGTTTTTTTAAAATCTCAATTAAAACCTATTTTAGAACAAAAGTTATTTAACATTAAATGTGCTTATCATATTTTAAAGCGTAAAATACAAAACCTCCCCTGAAGTTTATGACAATCATAAAAACCTTCCCTATAGTTTCACTTTAGCAAAAACCTCCCCTCTATTTTTGAAAAAATTGACAAATACCTCCCTTCCATCAATGACTAAGACAGAAACGCTAAACCAATGACATTTTTTTTAAAATACCTATTTTACCCTTTTATGAATTAATGTGTATTTATTTTTACTAAAATACCCCTAGAAGTGTAAAATGGGTCATGTTGTGCCGGCCTGTAGGCCATCCTGGGCCGTGGGCCTGGGCCAGGCAGGCTACAGGCCTTGCCATGGGCCTGGCCAGTGCTGGGTTGGGCTATAGGCCGAGCCTTGGGCGTAGGCTGAACCGGGCCAGACAGCTTTTTTTTGACATTTTTTATTTTTTTATTTCTTTGCTAAATAATACTAAAATATTTAACTTTCCTTTGGGAACTACTTGAAAAAATAAGAAATCTAACAAAGAAATGAAAAAAAAAAATACTTAACTAAATAAGAAGTCAGAGACAAAGACTCAAAGTGAATAACACCAGAAGGGCTAGTAGATCACGTGCCATGGCAGCGAGAACTAGATAATTTTTTGCATGTTCACTCCACCAAGCTAAAATATCAAAACTATTTGTTCCCTCCGAGGTGAAGGAAGAATCACCTAAAGTAGAAAAAATTGCTTATAAATAAAAATGAAGTTTAGTAAATGAACTTATTGTCGAGGCAATGGATTTTTGCCTCTTACTTATTAAATAAAAAAAAAGCTTTTCTTTTCTACTACTAAACTCAAGTTCAAAAGTGGAAGATGTAGCTGTACAAGTTGCAGAATTTTTATTATTCCCCATTACTTCATATTCATATAAACTATACATTTCAAATAATAAACTATTAATTTCTTCTTTTTCATTTCCAATTTCAATATTCATATTTTCACAATATGTTTCAAGTAAAATATCTAAACCATCTTTCCTTATCCTAGGATCTAATATTGTAGCTAAGCAATAAAGTGGAGAAATGTTCTCCCAATATTTTTTGAATTTATTTTTCATTATTTCAACAATACTTTTAAATTATGGATTCTTTCTATATTTTGCAAAACAATCAATAATCATCATTAATTGATAAACTAAATTACAACTACTTGAATAATAAATACCCGATAATTTATTAGTTGCATCACAAAAATGTTTTAAAAAATCTCTTATACAAATTGTCATTTCCTATTTTTCCTCAAATATAATATTAGTAGCCATTTTTTCATTATAAAAATCACTGAGAATTTGTTTGTGAGAAATACAATTTTCTAACATAGCATAGGTAGAATTCCATCTATGTTTAACATCTAATATAAAATGTTTATATTTTAAACCATAATTTTGACATAAATATTTAAATTCTTGTTTTCTTGCTCCAGAACTTTTAATATATATAATATAATTTCTAATTTTAGAAATATGAGTAGAAATAATATTTAAAGCATTCTGAATACATAAATTTAAGATGCTGATATGAAATAATTTACCACTCAAACATGGTAATTCAGATTTTAAAACATTTATTGCTAACTCAATATTACTAGCATTATCAAAACTAATAGAAAATAATTTATTGTCATTTCCATAATCTTGTAAAGTATTTAAAATACTTGCAGCAAAAACTGGCGCAGTATGTGGCCATTCAACTCTAGTAAAATTTAAAATTCTTTTATTTAAAAGCCAATTTTCATCAATAAATGATCGGTAACACAAATATAACTTATGTTAAATTTAGAAGTCCAAATATCAGAAGTAATTGCAACTTTAGAATTAAGATTTGATAACATATAAATTAAATTTTGTTTATATGAATAAAAAAATTTAAAGCATTTGATCTAATAGTATTCGTAGAAACTTTTTTAAATTGTGGATTTACAGAATTACATAACCATTTTTCAAGTTTAGCATCTTTAGCTAACAAAAATGGTTGTTCAGCATGTAAAATGTATTTTGCTAATTCTTGCCTCATTTTTTCTTGAGAATAGTACCAAAACCCCCGCCCAATTTGTGTTTGTGTTGAGTAAGCCTTTTTCTTGTTGAAACTTC